TTTTATTATATTATAAAAGATATGAACTAGATTGCTGATCTTTTCTTGTAAAAAAAAGGTTATGAAAAGCATGGCCCGAGGACTATAAACAGTGACAAAGAAATGAGAATCAATCCTCTAAAAGGTGCGTAGCCTTTGAATCAGTAAAATAAGAACCTCTCACTATTATTCCTCTGGTGAAGGCCTTGAGGGCTCCGGGGGCTCAAGGGCTTAGGGATGAAAAACTATAACAATATATTCCGAGGCAATGATGCACTAACAATTGGAAAATTTCTACCAACGAGAGGATCAAGTAGCAAGTGGTTTGTTCCAGTTTAAGTAAGGTCTTAAGTTTGAAACTTTGTGTACACAGTAACTTTCGTTGGGAGACTCACCCACCATTTTGGTGCGCCACAACTGGTCGAATATGAAGTAATCGAGGTGAAACCCCGGATACGGGACAGAAAAAAAAAAAAACAATTGAAAAATTTCTAGCCTAATGGATTCTCATAATTTTTATTATTTTTTCATTCTTTTATTAATTTCTGATACTGACGGTGCTGTTCTCACTTCCCAGTTCCCAAAGTCTGATAGAGTATCTAGCAGTTAAAAAGTTCACTGTTCCCTTTAGAATTTAGATTTTAGATTACCCCGACGCCCCCACCCCCCCATTCAAGTTGATGTTGTCATGTCTTTCTCTTTCCTAATGACCATAATACCCCCATTGCAAATGGGTTCACACTAGCATTTCTTTGTCATCTTCCGAACCCAACTTACCAAAATACCCCGCACTTCTCCTACGTCAACTCCGGTCAATATCACATTCCCAAGTTCGCTGGTTTTCGACGAAATGACCTAAATGCCCCTATTGTGACTGTTATTCACACTACACACTCCCCCACTTCAGTTCCATATGACCATTTTACCCACGAACCGTAACGCTATTCCTGTAAAATAAAAAGGAAAACGTTGCCGTTTCTTGGAAATGAACAAGTCCTCGATCGTCAACGGAAAAATTTGAAACACGAACTCCACCCTCGTCTACTCTAAATGTGGTTGGGTGCTGAAGAGCAAAAAGGGGAAGAAGGAGAAAAATAATGGACAGCAACCGGGCGGAGGCGGAGCGATGGCTGGGGATGGCGGAGAGGCTGCTGGCGTCACGTGACCTGCACGGGACGAGGACCTTCGCGATCCGTGTTCGCGACTTCAACCCGATTCTCGCCGACCAAATCCTCGCCGTGGCCGACACGCTCCTTGCCGCCCAGCCTGACCCTATAGACTGGTACCGGATCCTCCAACTGGCCCCGCTTACTCAGTCTACGGAACTCATCGCAACTCAGTATAGGAAACTTGTTCTGCTCTTAAATCCCGCCAGGAATAACATCTTGTACGCCGATCAGGCATTCAGGCTCGTCTCAGATGCTTGGAGTGTGCTTTCGAATCCGTCTAAAAAGGCCATTTACGACAGCGAGTTGAGATTGGGCCAACTCGGCCGAGGAGCGAGTCAACCCGGCTTTGTGACTCAACTTGATCTAGCGAGTCAACTTGAACCCCAAGTGATTCACCTCGGTCTGCAACAGCAACACCAGCATCCGCAACAGTACCAGCAACCACCGCAACCGCAACAGTACCAGCAACCGCCGCAACCGCAACAGCCACAGCAGCTGTATCAACATCAGCAACAACCGCAGAGAGAGACACCGACGACGCCGGTGAGGCGAACCGAACAACTGATTCAATTCGGTCAGCCACGGGAACCGCAACAGCATCTGCCGCAGCAGAGAGAGACAGAAACACAGGTGAGGAAAACCCCTAGAAGTAAGGATGGGAGAGCCGCATTGGAAGAAGAAAGGGTGATTCTAAGCAACCGACCCGAGTCAACTCGAAATTCTGAGCCAACAAGGAGAACTCAGATAAATCAGACAGAATCGACCCGACCGAGTTCGGGACATCAAACGGAGCCAGCTCGTTCTACTCGGCCAAACGAGTCAACTCCCACCGATCAGCCTACAAGGCCAAAGGTGCCTAGTTTTTGGACTGCTTGTCCGTACTGTTTTGTTCTTTATGAGTACCCGAAGATTTATGAGGAATGTACTCTGCGTTGTCAAAAGTGTAAGAGGGCTTTTCATGCAGCTACAATACCGTCACCGCCGGAGTCAGGAAATGCTACTTACTTCTGCTGTTGGGGCTTTTTCCCAATTGGGTGTTCAGGGAAACAAAGGAATAAAAATTCCGGTCCAAGAGTGTACTATGATGATGATGATTTATTTGTGGAGATTTCTGATACGAGTGAGGATTCTGATGAGGATGACTGGGAGAAAGAGAGGAGGAAAAAGAGGACAAAGAGTTCTAAAGCGAGAGGTGCTGCAGCAAAGAAGCAGCAAAGTGAGAGGGTTAGGAAGGGCAGTAATTTGGATAGTGGTAAAGATTTTGGTGGTGGGTCTACAGCTCCAGAGGGTCCACCAGTTGCTGAGTCGAGCAGGAGGGGATTGGGAAATGGGAGAAGGCAAATGAGGAATGGGGCAAAGGATTTGGGGAAGTTGGATTTAAATGTGGAGTTCAGTAATGAGGTGGAAGAGCCAGCCCTTGGGAGGAGGGAAGGGAATGGGGCTGGATATGGAGAGGAGGATAATATTGAAGGAAACGGGTTTTTTGAGGGTCTTGATGAGTTTTTGAGTAGCTTGCCAATACTTTCTGTTGTTGGAGATGATAAGGTGAAGGCTACTTAGTGAAGTAATAACCTTGTGATTGTTTTATGTTCCTTTCTTGCGGTTTTAGTTGTAACTGTATGTCGTAGTATTTAAATTATGTAGAGGTTCTTGTGATCTCATTCTCCAGTTCTGTTTGAATCTGAATTCTGCTGTATATTTGCAGCATTTTTGTTTTGTTAATATTATTATCATTTCTTGTGGCATTTCTTCCCGCAGGAGAATAGGAGATGTTGTAGTGAATGAATAACCAATGCACTTTGCTGAGCTTAAGTTTTAAGTTCTGTGTTGGTTGCTTAGATCATGTATGTATTGATTAAGTTTGCACGAAGCTCTTTACTCTTTTGAATGGTAAAAATTGTAAATCATATTCTTAAGGACGTTGCATCCCCTCTTTATCTTTCTATTCTTAGTGCTTTACTAAGAAATGGAATGGAAGGTA